TTTTTTTACAGCGACATTTTGCAATTTGCAAGGGGTTATAATATTCATTCGATAGAGCTCTTTCTGCTCTACAAAACTGTGTTAATCGTTTTTTTCAGTAGTTTCAATTTATTGAGGCTCAGAAATGGAATATCCAGGAGATAAAAATTAGCACTTTCGACACCTGCTCTTCTTCGCTTTCCATCGCGGCCAAAAAGCTGCTGAAGCAGCCCGGGATATTTGCAATGTATACGGAGAAGGTGTCATAGGTGAGTCGGCAGCACGGAAATGGTTCGCAAAATTCAAAAATGGCGATTTTAACGTCGAAAACCTGCCCCGCAGCGGAAGACCTTCTGAGTTCGACGAAGAGCGTCTCCGAGCACTTGTGAAGCAGGATGGTCCTCAAACTAGTCGTGAATTGGTCGAAAAAGTGAACTGTGATCACAAAACTATTCTCAATCGTCTTCATTCAATGGGATTTGTCGAAAAATTGGGAGCCTGGGTGCCTCACGAAGTGAACGCTACGAACTTATTGCCCAACCTAATAAACCTAATGGTACAATCCAGTAACAAACAAAAATTCAGTGAATATAAAATAAATTTTGTAGCTTAATATGCTTGAACAGTGAACTTTGAGGCCGCCGATGACACTCAACATGTCAATTATTGCTATCGCCGACAAATAAGTTTAGTATCTTATCAGCCCGTGTAAAATTGTATCCGTAATCGATTTGGAATCGCAGAAGTACGATTTGAGGACATAAAAGCTTGGTATACCTCTGAGAGGTTAACGATACGTATTGATCGCGGAAGATCGGAGCGACAGTAACGATATTTTTCATAGTTTCCGTATCTCGGTGAAAACAAGCCGTGTTCGACAAATCGGCAATCCGATCGTTCGTATTTTTCCCTCGCCTAATGACGTGGAAGCGTATCCTCGAATCGAGAAATTACCGCATCCGTTACGTAAACAAGCGTTTCTTCTTCTTCTTCTTCTTCTGTACGGCGGTATAGATGCATGCATTTTTCATGTTGATTTTATCGTTTGTTTATGACGCTATCGCGTGCTGATTGGCCAAGAAAACGGGATTGCCCGGTGCTCATAGGTCCTTCGTGATCGCCCTGTGCAATATTAGCGTCATTTACGGAGACTGATTTGAAAGAATCTACAATCTCATGACTAACAATTGCGCATTTACGGCCGTGCTTATTTTCGTTTCAACGATGTTACTTTGTTTAACACGTTCTGATGACTGCACACTGCGTTCCCCATTTTAGAATCGCTTCTAAAGATACCTTACTCTGTTTTCCAACGATTTAATCGCCCGGGTAAACTTACGGACTCGTAAAATATTTCTAGATACTCGAAATGACTACACGGTTTTACGATATTATGCTACAAACAGTTAAGCTTCTTGGAAGGGATGCAAACGGAGTCGCTTTCAAAGGAATATCGATACTCGCTTCGAATACTAAATATTCTCTAAGGTAGATTTAATGCATAGTTGAATTATACTCCTGGCGTAGCAGATGTAATGTATGACACTGGCTCAAGTCGCTCATCTTTTTCAAACTCTCAAAGAGTCACTGTAAAATTATAATTTCTAAATTTCAAAGCTGATCCGAATGTCCCAAAATTAGAGGAAGACAATTTGATGGATTGGCGATGTATCGGTCGGATCGGTGCGTTGGATATCGAGTCGTGTACGCAAGAGCATCGAGCCAGTAAAAAGGGATACAAAGACGTTTCTCCGCTCGAAGTCCTCGAAGGAACAGTAAAAGGAGAATGGTTTCGGGTCGGATAAAGAAGAAAAGCGGCCGGGCGCAATCACATGCGGGTTCGAAAGGTCAAGTTCAAGCTGGCGAGAGATGCCATCTACAGCCACGAATAGAAACGGCGGAGGGAGAAAAGGGTGGGCAGGAGGGATGTAGGGGGGATGCAACGATAGGGGAGATAGAGAGAGTGGGGGAGATGGCATTCCTCTTCTACTCTCTCTTTCTCCCTCGGCTAGAATCACTGCGAAAATAAAATGGCATCGTGCCAATGCACGTGTGTGCACCACGGAGATTCACGATTTTCGCGAACGTCGCCTCGGGACACGACGATCCTTGATCCCCATCTCGATTCTTCTTTTCTTAGCCCCGATACCGGTCGATCGATGAAAACAAAAATCACCGATAGGTGCTTGCAGATGGATGCGACAGATAATCGTGGGTTTGTTCTCTGGGCTACTTGTTGACGATCTCGTTGACCTAACTGCGGTATTAACTCCTCTCCTTATTGCGTTCGTGAAACAACTGTTGGTACAGCATTTTAATCTTTGCACCCCTATGATGTGGTTCGACATCACATTCCTTTTGAATTTTATAAATAATTCAGATAGGTTGGTTTCGTGTATTTTCTACTTATCATTAATTTAATCAATGTACTGTTTATAATGAATTTAATCAATGTACCATTTATAATGAATTCAATGAATTTAACATTTATAATGAATTCAATGAATGTACTATTTATAATGAATTCAATGAATGTAACATTTATAAGGAATTCAATGAATGTAACATTTATAATGAATTCAATGAATGTAACATTTATAATGAA